AAACACAGACTTTTGCGGAAATAACAGATCACATTTTTACTCCCAGAGAAAAGACCGGACTGTTTACAGGACAGCTTTTCATTTTGTATTTTTGACATGACACACAGAGAAACTGTCAGAAACTCCTCTCTCTGTAGCTCAAACTGAAGAACTCAGATAAAGCACACGTAACACAAAATTGCTTTCTAGTAGAAATGAATTCATAGTTTTGGAAAAATGTAGAGGTTTTATTTCAGAAGTACGTCTCTGTGGCGCAATTGGTTAGCGCGTTCGGCTGTTAACCGAAAGGTTGGTGGTTCAAGCCCACCCAGGGACGGTTTTACTAGTGTGGCTGACAACATCATGTGGACTTTAACTACCAACCTGTCTAATCTCATCAGCCAATCATGGGCGTCGCTGTCCAATGTGGGATAAATATAGATAGATAGTATCTCTCTCTCCAATCAATGTGTGATGGGATGACGTACTGGAGAACAACCCAAGAACAAATGAAGGAAACATGCAGATTGGAAATACTCTTTAAACCACTCAATGATTTGTCTCACCTAGAAAAAATACAAAAATCTACATTAACGTTAGATTTATGTGAACTTGCATTATTTCTATTTACAAAGTGCCCATTGTAATTTCACATCCTACCACACGGTGTCAATCTTGCATCATTTTCTCAAGGAAAAGAAAGAACACCCTGGAAGTCTGTCTCTTTGTCTTTGTCTCTCTCACAAACACCACCTGAGCCTTGTGTATGTATTAAGCTGAACAGTGGAAAGATACGGGACTGCACTGCTGTACAACCCTGTAGCTTCTTTTCTCTCAAGTTACTGAGTGACCCTGAAAATAGCTGAAAAACAGCTCAATCAGATGCAATACAAATCTGTGAATACAACTCCTGCTGCTCAAGGTGTGATTACACTCAGGGGATTTCTGAGATTTTAATACCTAAAATCATATATGTGTAAACTCTGCATATCTTCATCGAGTAAAAGATTTATTTATTCATGATTTGACTGAAATGACACTTTGAGTCCTTACAGATGGGACATCGGCACCAGGTTAGTGCTAATATGAAATAAGGCCTTTCACTTTACCTGAGGTGTCACATAAGACATTGAGGCAAATTATAATGTATGCTTTATTCCTTCAGTAAAAGCTGAACAATCTTCACAGAAAACACATAAGAGCTGTAGATATACAAATATAAAGTGGGTTGTAGTGCAGCTACAGAAGTGCACATGGGATTAAAAGTGAATGTCCTCCTTTGCTCTCATTACCGTGGGCCATCTCTGTGAGGACAATCCACAGTGACAAGTGCTTTCGGTTGCGGCGTACGGGACCCAGGGTGCGCCTCAGACCTCTAGGGAGAGAATCAGTCAGCATGAGAGCCCCAAGCAACGCAGATCCATGAGTAACAACAAAGAGGCCTCCCGACAGACTGTACACAATAAAGGGACAGTTGTGCTCTTCCCTCTCTGTGGGATTTCCAACTTACTGCCAGAGCACAGTTTGTTTTACAGTCCCCTGAGAGCATTATGATTTATTTATCTTTGAAAAGAGGAACTTCTCTGTGTGACAGTTTGCAGTAAAACTGCTGCCTGAGTGAAGGTGGCTTCCTCAAGTCAAGTTAAACCCTGAGACTGACAGCAGTGGGAACTTCCGCTGCGTGGTAAAGTAAACATACGGTCAAACATTACATCCATATGGAACGATTGAGCACTCGCAAAACATGTTTTTTTTAATGATTTTCCATAACAGCCTCCAAACCACTGGAAAGTTTTCCACAAGATTCTGGAACCTGGCTGAAGAGATTTACATTTTTCCAGCATTAGAAAGGAGGAGCAAAAAAACAACAACTGTTGCTATTTATTAATCCTGTGATAATTGAAAAATCATAAGAAATCTC